TCTCTGAGGAGACGATTGTATCTCGGGGGGACATGTTCTGGTGGTGTCTCTGAGGAGACGATTGTATCTCGGGGGACGTGTTTCTGGTGGTGTCTCTGAGGAGACGATTGTATCCCGGGGGACGTGTTTCTGGTGGTGTCTCTGAGGAGACGATTGTATCTCGGGGGACGTGTATCTGGTGGTGTCTCTTTGGAGACGATTGTATCTCGGGGGTGGTGTCAGTGCCGTATCTGGTGGTGTCAGTGCCGTGTTGATTGTATCTCAGTGCAGCTCCTGGTGAAGTCTGGATTTTGTTCACCTGATGCTATGGAATACATTGCAGCAATTATCGGGGAAATCTTTGTAAGGGGATTGTAGGTTTCATGCAGTGAGGAGGGTCTCCTGATTCGGCCACTTAATGCAGATATCTAATGACCCCGGTAAGGGCCCACCTTTCTGATGATGAAAATCGCACGTATCCGTTTTATTCGTTCATCCTCCATGCATTGCCCTCTCTGATATAACACTGATCATAGTACAGATCACAACTGTTGTCATTTCTCCCTCAGAGCTGAGCTCTGCTGCCGGTAAAATGAGTGTCCCATGAAGACATGAATTCTCCTGAAGCAACTGCGCATGTGCCAGTTTCAGTCAAGGGATACTGATTTCCATGGGATACTCATCTTGCCGCTACACCGGCTCTCTGTGAGGTAGATGGAGCTCAGCGCTCACTGTCTCGTAGCCAATCACTACAAGTAGTCCGGCCAGCATCCGGCTTCGGTAACCTAGCAACCCCAGTCACCAGAGCGCCTGTGCCGATGAACGGAGCCCTCACGTGACGTCATTGGCGTGCGCGGCCAGCTGATTGCTCTGATCTGTGATGGTTCCGGGTTGAGCTGGGAGCTGCTGTGCTGGCAACACCCGGAGGAGCCGGTATGGACGCTGTATGGAGCTTCTACCTGTCTGTATGTCATGTATTGGGATTGCTCTTTGTAGGGATTTGTGTGTCTTCATAGGTGGTATGTTTCCATTCATTGTACCTGGTGAGCTCCCATGTGATGTCAGGACATAGGTATCCTGGGAAGCCCCTAAGTAGGGTGTTATATTATTAATATTCACGTTCTCTGTATTGCGGGGGTGCGCACAGGAGGGTGCGCTCGGGAGGGCGCTCTTCTAGGGTGCGCACGGGAGGGCTCTCTCGTAGGGTGCGCACAGGGGGGCTCTCTCGTAGGGTGCGCACAGGGGGGCCCTCTCCTAGGGTGTGCTCGGGAGGGTGTTCTGTAGGGTGCGCTCGGGAGGTGTTCTGTAGGGTGCGCTCGGGAGGGCCCTCTCGTAGGGTGCGCTCGGGAGGGCCCTCTCGTAGGGTGCGCCCGGGAGGGCCCTCTCGTAGGGTGCGCCCGGGAGGGCCCTCTCGTAGGGTGCGCCCGGGAGGGCCCTCTCGTAGGGTGCGCCCGGGAGGGCCCTCTCGTAGGGTGCGCCCGGGAGGGCCCTCTCGTAGGGTGCGCCCGGGAGGGCCCTCTCGTAGGGTGCGCCTAGGAGGGTGTGCGCTAGGGTGCGCACAGGGGGGCCCTCTCCTAGGGTGCGCACAGGGGGGCCCTCTCCTAGGGTGCGCACAGGGGGGCCCTCTCCTAGGGTGCACACAGGGGACCCTCTCCTAGGGTGAGCTCAGGAGGGGGTGCGCTCAGGGGGGCCCTCTCGTAGGGTCTGCCCAGCAGAGTACTATGTACACATTTCAGGACGGCTTTCTGTTTCAAATTGATTGTGTTAATGACAGGGATAAGGCAAAACTTTTTTTTTTTTTCCATTTTGGATAGAGTAAGGGAGGGTTGTTACCCCGGTCAGTTTTTTTTTTTTTGGCATCTGTGTCCCATTGGGGAGATTTCCCTTCACTTCCTTTCCCATAGCCAAAACAGGAAGTGAGAGGAAATCCTTGCAAATTAAGGGAATCCCTTGGGGGCCCCAGGTCACAATAACTGGTGTCCCCATTGGAAGATTTCCCCTCTCACCTTTCTGGGGATACCCTTACATTTGGAGTTTTCTTTTACTTTCAATGATAATGGTAAACAGGACAAATAGAGAGGGAGAACCTCCCTAATATGGGGGGGGGGGGGGTGGATGTAGTAATAAAAACCTGGCAGGGGGTCTAATCCTCTCCACTCTATTCAAAACTAAAAGAAAAGTGTTGCCTTTAGTTATACTGTCAGTTCTTACCTTGTTACATTGGGCGCTCTATGAATGGAGGAGGTGGACCTCATTCACATTCATCCACCCGTCCTCCATTCACTTTTCATTGATGGAAGCTATAATACCAGCTTATGAATGGAGAGAGGGGGGGGTATAAAGTGCTGACTTTGTCATAATTCTTTAAGGGTGCCCATGACGGGCCAGCAACTTTATTAACCCTGCAGCACTGGAAGATTACTGCTGCAGGGGTCAGGGGGGTAAAGGATGGGAGATTTCAACTAACAGCATCCACCAGCATAAGGTGCAGTTCTCATTGAATGTAAGGCTTCATTCAGATGGTCACTGGCACCCAACCTGCATGCAAATTCCCTTTATCGCACCCGCCTCTGCCCTGGGCCATGTGTAGGCAGCCTATAGAGGTGAATGCAGATGCAGCAGCTGAATGGACACAGCCGCATTTCAAAATTTGACAAGCAGACAGGAATAGATGCCCAGATCCAAACCCAGACAGTGTGCGTTTGGGTCCGTGCTCCCTTCCTTATCAAATTTCGAACTGCGGCTCTGTCTGCATTCACCTCTGTAGGCTGCCTGCTTGCAGCCAGGGGTGGCTGCAGGTACAATAACACAAAGGAGCCTGCATGGGTCTTGGAGCATGTGTGATCAAACCCTAACTACCGTACCTTGTGTTGATTTAAAAAAAAAATAAAAACTGAGGCTTTAAATAAGAGGTTTTTTTTTTTTTTTTTTTTTTTTTTTTTTTTTTTTTTTTTTGCACCTCGAGTTCAGCTTTAATGTGCACTCACTGGCCTCTTTATTAGGTACACCTCTTCAATTGCTTGGTAACACAAATTGCTAATCAGCCAATCACATGGCAGCAACTCAATGCATTTAGGCTTGGTGAAGACAACTTGCTGCAGTTCAAACTGAACTTCAGAATGGGGAAGAAAGGGGGTTTAAGTGACTTTGAACGTGGCATGACTGTTGGTGCCAGATGGGCTGGTCTGAGTATTTCAAAAACTGCTGATCTACTGGGAGTTTTACACACAACCATCTCTAGGCTTTATAGAGAATGGTCCAAAAAAGAGAAAATATCCAGTGAGCGGCAGCTGTGTGGACGAAAATGCCTTGTTGATGTCACAGGAGAATGGGCAGACTGGTTTGAAATGATAGAAAGGCAACAGTAAGTCGTTACAGCCAAGGTATGCAGAATACCATCTCTGAATGCACAACACGTTGAACCTTGAAGCAGATGGGCTACAGCAGCAGAAGACCACACTGGGTGTTACTCCTGTCATTTAAGAAGGAGAAACGGAGGCTACAATTCACACAGGCTCACCAAAATTGGACAATAGAAGAATGGAAAAACGTTACCCAGTCTGATGAATCTCAATTTCAGATGCAACATTAGATGGTCGGGTCAGAATTTGGAGTAAACAACATGAAAGCATGGATCCATCCTGCCTTGTATGAACGGTTCAGGCTGGTGGTGTCATTGTGTGGGGGAGATTTGCTTGGCACACTTGCCACGGCCTACCTGAGTATTGTTGCTGACCATGTCCATCCAGTTATGACTCCAGTGCCCCCATCTTCTGATGGCTCCTTCCAGCAGGATAACGCACCATGTCACAAAGATCAAAGCATCTCAAACTGGTTTCTTGAACATAACAATGAGTTCCCTGTACTCCAATGGCCTCCACAGACACCAGATCACAGTTCATTCTGCACTCCTGTGACCCTTTTTCAGCGGGCTGAAGCCCACTGTCAGCTGACATCACTCAGCCAGTCCAGGCTGGGGAAAGATCCTGACTTTAAAGTCAGAGTCTGGAGCGGCATCTGGCTCAGCCTCTCAGCGAGCCACTGAGAGCCTGAGCCAGCCGCTCCCTCCCCCTCACAGCCCAGCGCTCCAGTGAGCACTAGTGGGAAGGGCAGAGCAGACAGCGGTGAATAACTGTCACCACTCACAAGTGAGATCTCAGCAATCAGTGTTCATGTGATCGCTGGGTTCTCACATTTATGCAGGCCATAGACGGGTCGAAAATCGGCCGATTTTTCGGCCAAAAAAAAAATTGCCTGATTTTTGCACCGTTAGTGGGTTAATTGGTCAGCCGTTTTTCAGGATTTTGGCACATTTTTTTTTATCGGTAAAGTTGGAAAAACATTGGCCGATTTTCCCGGCAATGATGGGCAAATTGGCCGATCATTTTACCGATAAAAAATCTGCGCATGAGCCGTGACCTGCAAGAAAAAGAAAAATAAGGAGAATTCCAGTCCGCTATTCTATTTTATATGAAAAGTATTGCGGTTGCAACAATGTATCTATTTGTATCCGAATAAAAACATCTGTATCTGAAATGGATACATTGTTGCAACCGCAATACTTTTTCATGTCAAATATAATAGCGGAGCTCTCTGCAGGGACAGAAGTAATTAAATGCCGGCTGTAGACTGGACGAAAATCAGCCGATTTTTCTTTTTTTTTTTTTTTTTTACTGTTGGTGGTAACGTCGGCCAATTGAACGACTGATTTTTTTTTTTTTTTTCTTTTAATAAAAAACGGACGGTTTTCGACCCATCTATGGCCTGCATTTGAGCTGGTGGGGGACAGATGCAGCATCGGGCTGATACTGCATCCACCTAGGTAAGTATAATTTCGGAAAGCAAAAAAAAAAACAAACTTCTCTTTTAACTCCACAACATAATATCAGAAAAAAAGTCTAGTCAAAAAATTAGTTTTTGTAATTGTTTCTTTTTATTTTATTTTTTATTTTTTTTAGAGTTGCTCCCCTAATCCTTTTTTTTTTTTTTCCTTCTAGTGAGCAAAGAATGTGCGGGCAGCAATGGGTGCTACTCTCTGTATCTGTTCTCGGGGGGTCATAACTATTGAAAATAGGCGTTACCTGTTTGTAGAGAAGCTGGGAGAGGGGTAAGTAGCATAACCCCACAATACAAACACTGTAAATAAAAACATGGCAGAGTGATGGACCGCTTTGACAAAACATGCACATTTGCAAAAATGCAGCTAATGTTTTACTTAAAGGGTAAATCCCCAGTTTTGCGGGGAAAAAAAAGTAGTAAATAAAAAAAAAATAATATAGCATATACAATTGCTACACAAATCATATTGTAATTGAATATTATTAAAAATGACTTTTCCTTTTCAATCTGCACCACTGTAATTTTCTGTAAAATACAACATGGCTGCCTGGAGGCTTTCTGTACACAGTGTACAGTACGCTCCCCAGAAATGTCATTTCCTTCTTGTGTTATTGGCTCACCGGTTTCACAGAAGTCTGCACTAAGATACAAGTCAGATTTTTGGCATCCCCTGCAACAAAAATAATCATTTTTATTGAGATACTCCCAAAGGGAAGTCCCGTCTAAAGGGATGCAGACCCTGCCACTTTCCTTAGAGCCCTGCAAGTGCAGCAGCTGACTGATAAAAATAAAATCACTCCCATACAGATTTGTACAGCACATGGACACAGGCAATCAAACAGCTATTTTTTCCAGAATATCAAAAGGTAGGGACCTGCAACAAAGTTTGTTAAAACCCATGTAATGCAAATCCTTGCATCTAGAATATATTCAGCTAATATAAACTGAATATGTAATTGGGCTTTAATCTGTATTTTTCTGGATTTTCTTTAACAGAGGTTTCAGTTATGTTGATCTGTTTGAAGGGGTCCATGACGGGCAGTTTTATGCCCTAAAACGCATACTATGCCATGACCGGGAGGATCGTAAGGAGCGCTTCATGAGGTAGAGATGCACCGAATGTTCAATCATCCCAATATCTTGCAGCTGGTGGGGACCTGCATGATTGAGAAGGGGCCTAAGTGGGAAGCCTGGCTCCTGCTTCCTTTTGTTAAGGTAATGGCACTTCCCTGTTCCTAACTCTGGTCCTTCTGGCAAACTCTTGGTTCTGTGTATTCAGCTGTGTATAATTATTGCAAACAATCAGTTACTTCAGCCTTTCTCAAACATTTTACTCCAGAGGTTTGCTAAAACCAAATTTATTTGAGGTCAGTGGTAAAATGCTCCATAAATTGGTGACTGATGGGAAAACTGCCTCCTTACAATGGTGGTCGAAATGACACCCTTATAGACAGCTAAAAAGATCTTTGGTCCAAAGTCGTGGTGCAGACACCATGGAATGGGAGATCACTTAGCCACACCTAATGGAACACCTAGCAACTTCTGGAGGGATCCCATGGTTCTACGACACCCTTGTTGAGAGTGACTGAGTTACTCCATATCATACCCCAGTGCAGTCTTGAGGAAAGAAAAGAAAATATAATTGGCAGCCATTGATCACAAGACCTGTTCTTCTCTCATTTATCATATTGAACCTAGTGTAGTACAGAATTTCAGTGGAGTGAAGGTCCCGTTACTCTTAGCAGCCAATCCAATTCCAGGTTTTCTAGTGCAGAATATTTTCGATGTGATTTAGAAGTAGTAAGTCTTTTTTCAGTTTATTAAATAGGGTCGTTATTTACACAAGCATGGTTGGGAGGCAGTAGAGGCATAAGCGTAAAACCCGTGTGCATATATAGCTTAATACAGTTCCAAGAGCAATAGTTGCCACTTGCCAACCGTGCTATAGCCAAATGATGGCTACACCGCGGCTGTCCAATTCTGGGAGGGCGTCATACGCCCCGGGGGTGTGCACCCGGTGATTTCTGTGTTTGCTCTGTCCTACGGACACAACTGATCACGTGATGTGGTAAAAGGCCAATCACGGCGACCTTTTACCATGTGATCAGCCGTGTCCAATGACACAGCAGATCACCAGTAAACTCAATTGCTGGTTATCGGCTGCACTTTCCTCACCCTGTCACAGTGTGAGGAAAATACTGCCGATAACCAGCAATTGTCAGAGGACGGATCGGCACTGATCATCAAGGCACTGAAGATCAATGCCCTGCAGTGCCACCCACCAGTGTCGCCCAGTAGTGCCACCCACCTGTGCCCACCAGTGCTGCCCAGCAGTGCCACCCACCAGTGTCGCCCAGCAGTGCCACCCACCAGTGTCGCCCACCTGTGCCCTGCAGTGCCACCCACCAGTGCTGCCCAGCAGTGCCACCCATTAGTGCCCAGCAGTGCCGTCAGTCAGTGCCACCCAGCAGTGCCCATTATTGCCTATATATTTTATAATAGAAACAAAGAAAAACTTTATTTTTCTTCAAATTTTTTTGTTTATAGCGCAAAAAATAAAACCCCCAGTGGCGATTAAATACCACCAAAAGAAATCTCTATTTGTGTGAAAGAAAATGATAAAAATGTCGTATGGGTACAATGTTGCATGACTGCGCAATTCTCATTCAAAGTGCTACAGCTCTGAAAGCTGAAAACTGGCCTGGTCATGAAGGGGGTATAAGTGCCCTGTAGGGAAGTAGTTAAAGAGGATCTTAAGTCCTATCCATAGTGGCTCCTTTCCCCCTCTCTTGCATCCCCATTATAATGCATCCGCAGATGTGCTGAAGGGCTCTGCCTGGCCTTCGGGTCCCAGTAGAGCCGTTTGGCACATATGTGCAGACGTTTTCTGCGCATGTGCAAAGACGGCAGAAGGTTGGCATTTCCCTAGTAGCCTGTCTTTGTGCTTGTGTTGGGAGGCCTGTGCATGCAAAGATGTTCAAGGAAGCCTGCATGTGCGCAGATGAGCGTCAAGACCCAGAGCCCTGTGGCACATCTGAGCATGGGCAAGGGATACGAACCTCGTTCTTTCCTAAGTGAGAAGTGTGGACTTTGCAGCACAAGCTGTCATACAAATAAATACATTTAGATCCAATTGTGAGAGAGGGAAGGGGAGAAGACGGGGCAATATGACATGTACACTAAGGTGAAGATCCACTTTAACATACTCCACAGTGACCCGTCATCTTTCATGAAATTGGAGCAGATGTTAGTAAAAGATTGCTGTTGACTGGCTACTTATTGGTTGCTGCAGGTGAGACATTGACATTTTTTTTTTAATAAGGTCAAATTAGCTTTATTTTCAGTTTTATTGTCATTATTATTATTGGGCTGAATGAAGCACATGCATTTGCCACACTGTCTGTGAGGTGTGGCATTGTCGTATGTTTGTGTAGTGCTGTGTACATTGGCAGAGCTCTGGAAAAACATGAAATGCTTACTTGGCATGCTTTCTGCAATGTCAAGGAACATTGCAGTTACAGCATACAGTAAATAGAGCGCAGGGAGAGAGAACACTTCACTATCTCAGTTATCATTGAAAAGGAGCTGGAAAAACAAATATAAACATTTTGAAAGATGTACACATTTGTGACTTGGTGTGAGAGAAACCAGAGTAGGCTGGGTGTTTGGGGGGAATAGGTGTTTAACCACCTTCCGCCCACGCTATAGTACAATGACGGGCGCAATGTGGTTCTCTCGTTCTGATAGGACATCATATGACGTCCTACCATTCTCACTGCGCATGCGTGGCTCGGGGAGAGCGCAGCGCGGCGAACGCCGGTCTGCTGTGTCCCTCGGACACAGCGGATCACAGAAAGAGCTGAAGATGTCGGCTCGGTCATGTGATCAGCTGTGTCCAATCACAGCTGATCACATGTAAACACGGAAATGCCGGTTATCGGCATTTTTTCCTCCTCTTGAGCTGTCACGCTGACAGCTCGAGAGGAGAAGAGAGCCGGTAATCGGCTTTCCGCGGAGGGGACATGTACACTGATCATCAGGGCACTGATGATCAGTGTGCCCTGATGATCAATGTGGCCCCAGAAGTGCCACCTGTCAGAACTTATCAGTACCAGTGCCCATCAGTGCTACGTGCCAGTGCCCATCAGTGCCACATCAATGCCACATATCAGTGCATACCAGTGCACATCAATGCCACATATCAGTGCCCATCTGAGCTGCCTTTCAATGTCACCCATCAGTGCCAGTCAGTGCTGCCAATCAGTGCCGCCTGTCAGTGCCAGTCAGTGCCGCCTGTCAGTGCCATATATCAGTGTCATGTATCAGTGCTGCCTTTCAGTGCCCATCAGTGATGCCTGTCAATGCCCATCAGTGCAACCTACCAGTGCCTCCTCATCAGTGCCACCTATCAGTGTCCATCAGTGCAGCCTATCAGTGCCCATCACTGCAGCCTCATTAGCGCACATCAGTGAAGGAGAAAAATCACTTATTTACAAAATTGTATAACAAAAACTAAGAAAAAACTTTTTTTTTTCAAAATTTTCAGTGGTTTTTGGTTTGTTTTAACAAAAAATAAAAATCCCAGAGGTGATTAAATCCCACCAAAAGAAAGCTCTATCTGTCTCAAAAAAATAAAAATTTCATATGGGTACAGTGTTGCATGACCGCACAATTGTGACAAGTGTGACAGCACTGAAAGTTGGAAATTGGCCTGGGCAGGAAGGGGGTATAAGTGCCCTGTAGGCTAGTGGATAAAGGATAAGTTCACCTTTCATAACATGTTACACCCATATTCGGGGTGTAACATGTTATGTTCGGACCGGCCCTCACTCCCCAGTTTGACAGGAGTGATGTGCAGGTTTTTCTGCGCTACCCACACCATTATGTGGGTATGTGAGGGAATGTGGCAGTTTTCCATATAGAAAACATACAGATTCCTGCCAGGTGTGACATGTCATATGGGATGTGAGCTGTCAGCAGGCAGAGAGAATGGAGCATGCAGCTCCAGCTTTCCCTTCTCTTTGATGCCTGTCACAGGCACGGCAGGACAGAGAACTAATCGCTCCTAATTAACAAAGGGGCTTGGGATCCTTTTTGTTAATTAGGAGCATCATCTGCTCCATTTTTTATGTTTAGAAGGGAGGTACAAACTTGTGCTTGCACCTCTTTGATAATACCCCCTTATTATTTTCATTATTGTGGATTTGAAAACCAGTCAGACCACTAATTCATTGAGTGTCCCAATGTGGAATAGAGAGGTGTTTTCTGTGCATTGTGGGATGTCATGCATAACAAATACTTGTTTGAAAGACTGCAGTAGACTATGAAATTTCCTCCTTTTCAATGTATGTACAAAATCATAGAGCTATATCCTGGTTTGGTTCTTTATTTTCCAAGCACTTTGTTTAAACACTATGGGAAGAATATGCCATTAAAGTTAATTTGCACCCTGCATCTCATACCGCATAGATACGCAGAAAAGATCATTTAAAAAATGCAGCAAATGTTCCCTATAGTGGACAGTATACGTCATATATGTTTCAGAAAAAAATAGGGGCAACTTAATAAACTCCTATACTAAAAGCCAATAGAACAACCTCTGACATCATTGCAATTCCCAACATGGATTCACCAGAATGTTGACATTTTAAGTAAGTAGATATACATATAAACAGAGGATCAATACCTGTTGATCCAGGTAGCTAATGTGTACTCTTTGAAAGATCTCTTTCAAATGGCAGCACAGTGGCTAAATGGTTAGCACTTCCGCCTGGGTCATTGGTTCGAATGTCAACCACGGCACCACCTGTCTGGAATTTGCATGTTCTTGTAACTGCGTTTGGTTTCCTCTGGGTACTCCAGTTTCCTCCCACACTCCAAAGACATGCTGGTAGGATTATTGGCTCCTGTCTAAATTGGCCCTAGTATGTGTATGTATGAATGTGAGTTAGAGACCTTAGATTGTATCTCGGGGGGGGGCGTGTTTCTGGTGGTGTCTCTGAGGAGATGATTTTATCTTGGTGGACATGTTTCTGGTGTTGTTGCTGAAATGATTGTATCTCGGGGGACATATTTCTGGTAGTGTCGCTAAGATGATTGTATCTCAGGAGATGTGTTTCTGGTGGTGTCTATGAGATGATTGTATCTCGCGGGACGTGTTTCTGGTGGTGTCTCTGAGGAGATGATTGTGGGGCAGCACAGTGGCTAAATGGTTAGCACTTCCGCCTGGCAGTACTAGGGTCATTGGTTCAAATCCCAGCCACGTCACCTCCTGCCTGGAGTTTGCATGTTCTCCCTGTGACTGCGTGGGTTTCCTTCGGGTACTCCGGTTTCCTCCCACACTTCAAAGACATGCTGGTAGGTTAATTGGCTCCTGTCTAAATTGTCCCTAGTATGTGTATGTATGAATGTGAGTTAGGGACCTTAGATTGTACACCCCTTGAGGGTTAGGGACTGATGTGAATGTACAATATACATGTAAAGTGCTGCGTAAATTGACGCGCAATATAAGTACCTGAAATAAATAAATAAGTGATCTCAAGGATAGATGTAAATCCCAATGGGTGTCATGTGATTCAGTGTTTCTGCCCAGATTATCCCAGGTTAGTGTTAAAAGTCCGAAATGCCATCATCCGTGCAGAGTGTGACTGGGGAGCTTTTTGATTCCTTTAGTTCCTTCTCACCATAACTTGTACGGTTATACTGTCTCCTTGGGTCCCAAGCACTATGTAATGGGAGTCATGATTTCCATACACTGCACTGATGATGGCCAAAGTTCTGAAATGGCCATTTGGCTAAGGTCAAGTCTAGGATCTGTTATCAGTGTCCGGTAGGGGTGCTACTCCGCCATTGTGGCCTTTTGGTAGGAATGGCTGGCTGTATAGTATCACTGCTGGGGCTCTGAAGGTTTGACCTGTAGGAACAGAAACCAGGAAGCTCACTGGGTAAGGTGGGACATGGGAGTAAGTCCATGGTGATTTGAATGGTGCTACCTGGTCAGGTCAAGGCCTGGGAAAGCAGAGAACACATTGGGGTTTATTTACTAAAGCTGAAGAGTGCAAAATCAGACTTCCTTCTGCATAGAAACCAATCAGCTTCTAACCTCAGCTTGTTCAATGAAGCTTTGGCAATGAAACCTGGAAGCTGATTGGTTTCTATGCAGAAGGGAGTCTGACTTCGCACTCTCCAGCTTTAGTAAATAAACCCCATTGTGTCAGGGCCCCCATGGGAGTTGGTTGCCCCAGGGGTGCTCTTGGTATCACATGTTCCTGAGAAACCCACTCTGAGAATGAGGACAAGGCCGCGCCACGTAAGTTTTTTTTTTTTTTTTCTCTTCTTCTTCACAGCGCCTCTTTGGGCAAGGCCTTTTGGCTAAGTCCATGACAATTTTTGCTATCAGGCTGCAAGGCCTGCACTAGCACAATTTATTTAATTGATTTTTATCACTGTGTTGTCACTTGCACTTCTCTGCTTTTGTCTGTTTCTTTTTCTCACGAAGATGAAGGGCGTGAGTCCTCGGGCCTAAATTGAAGTCTGGAGGGTGGATGTGTGGCCATCCGGTTCCTTCCTCCCCTGAACCGTGGGGGTCTCTTTTCAGGAGAGCCCTCACCTAGTACCCAGTGGTCAGCTTTTACTGACCATGAGGCACGGGGTTCACTAGGCCTTTCGGCTAGTAGACCATGTTGAGCCTTGCCTCTATCAGGAGCCTTGCACTCCGGAGGGGGTCAGGGTGGAGTCCTGCTTCGGGAGGCAGACTAGAGACACACTATTAAGTGCACTATTTTGTGTGTGTTTTTTCACATGTACTTTTTTGTACACTTAGGTGTTTTAGTTTTTGTGTACCACTGTGGGTTCAAATAAAAAAAAAAGATGTATGTTTGGAATAACTGGCTCTATAGTAATATTCTATATTTGCATTCTACTCCAGCAGTTCTGGATATGCATTTGGCCGGTGGAATGTAAAGCAGTGATTTGCATGGCTCCATCCACTGTCCTGAAATTAGGAATAATTCTCTTATATTCGGGATATGTGATGGACTTAGATGTGAATACCTTCTGTCCTAAGAAGACTTTATGGTCCTAAACACTAATTTGGTTGGAGGGTTTTTTGATTCCTTTTCACCATAAACTGGTTATGCTGCCTTCTAAAAATTACAAGTAAGCTTTACTACTAACAATCTTTACATCTGACTATAAAATTGCACACATCTTCACCTTCTACTGTGGTGTCGGGCTTTTTGCCTTTTTTAAGCTGCATACAAGCTGCGCTGCCTTTTTAAAGGGCAGAAGGGAACATGTGAGCAGTAATGGCCTTCTTTTACAAGGACTTGTAATTGTATTTTTGTATAGAAGTATTCTTCTATACAAAAATACTATTGGTAACAGAGCTGCTTTAAAACCAATCTCTGATAAACAGTTACAGCGGAACTAAAATAAAGATATAAAAGTGAACAGGCAGGCTTTTTTTTTATTGCAGAAGAGACATGCAGGGGTTTATTTACTAAAGCTGGAGAGTCCAAAATCAGACTCCCTTCTGCATAGAAACCAATCAGCTTCCAGGTTTCATTGCCAAAGCTTCATTGAACAAGCTGAGGTTAGAAGCTGATTGGTTTCTATGCAGAAGGGAGTCTGATTTTGGACTCTCCAGCTTTAGTAAATAAACACCGCAGTGTCTCTTCTGCAATAAAGTAAGCTTACCTGCCTGTTTACATCCCTCTGCAGGAACGTGGAACATTTACATTTCTGGCACAGTGCCAATGTGCTGGAATGGATTGCCCTCTTGCATGCGCAGGAGTGACGTCATCCCGCACCAATCAATCAAGACAGCTGAAGACCATTGGAGCATAAGGTTTGCATTCTTGCCTTTAGTTCCCCTTTAACATCAAACCTTCCTTTCCAACTATATTCTAACCTCTGTTTTGCTTTTTTTGGGTTTTTTTTTTTCCTTACCCTGTTCTGAAAGAGGTCTCCAGTAGGTCACCCTGCATCATTTCCTGATGACGGCAAGCTGCCTCATAGAACTACGCATCCTTTGAGCCCCTTGATTAAAGGCAGTCTTTACGTTGGCTTTCAAGAATGTGTATGATGACAGAGGAAGGTTAGCAGTGGTGGAAATGCTAATAATCCCGCTCTGCAACTTTGCCATTGTCACCTTGTAGACTACAGGACTGCATGATCAAAGGATATATACCACTGGAATTTAGTCTCCTGCACAGTAACTCATATTGCTGTATATGAACACTGAGTATTATCTGACGTTCAGTAAAGACTGTGTTGTCATTTTGCTGTATTTTCAGAGGGGAACCTTATGGAATGAAGTTGAAGCTTTGCGGGATAAGCACCGATTCCTAGCAGAAGAGAGGATACTGTACATTTTACATGGGATATGTCTGGGACTCAAAGCCATTCATGATCAGGGTTATGCTCACAGGTATGAGGCTTGAGGTGTAGCTAAAAACAAAGTAATGTGGAGATTATGTACATCTGGGGTGTCTGAACATACAGGGGATTTCTATATAGGGAAAACACACACAGAATTGACAGTTCACTCAATATATTATTTAATCTTCGTAGTAAACTAGGATGTTGTCTGTAGTGTTATGCAGCAATCTACCTTATGGAGGTTAGGAGGTATGAACAGTGAAGTGGCGAGCGAGCGACCAGATATGGTTATTGCACCACATCCCTTAAAATTGCAAATATTCAATATAGAAGATGGGACTTTCAGGGTGCAGGAACATGGATACCAAACATATTAAAAAGTTATATCATTTTTATTTCGTATTTTTTTAAAAAAACACAACAAGAAAGGAAAAAATACAGAAACATAAAAACAATTTCCGTTCTAAGAATATAACTGAGATTCAAACTTGGTTATGTAGTTACTCCCTATATGTTTCGCCCTCACGGGCTTCTTCAGGGCAGATTTTTTTGAAGAAGTTTCTACTGCCGAGGCAGTCTAAAGGTATATCAAAGGAAAATTGTTTGATTACCAAACAACTTTAATATATCCAATACAGAGTATTTAATCAAATATACAGTTGCATTCAAAATAATAGCAGTCAGACATCACTAACTGGATCAATCACTCTTTTTGGTAGAAATTATATTTCTACATGGCAAATAATTTACTAGCAGGTGTAGTAGAGTAATAGAAATCCAACAGACCCAACAGTCATGACATGCATGCTGCTGATTCTGTGTAATTGAATCACTCATTGAAAGGGGCATGTTCAGAATAATAGCAGTGTGGAGTTCTATTAGTGAGGTCATTCATTCTTTGAAAAACAGGTGGCAATTATTCCCCCTATTTAGGAAGGAAGGCAGCAAATGTTGTACATGCTGGTTACAGTGCATTTCTCTCTGAAATTCTGAGGAAAATGGGTCGTTCCAGACATTGTTCAGATGAACAGCGTACCTTGATTAAAAAGTTGATTGGAGAGGGGAAAAATATATAAAGAAGTGCATAAAATGATAGGCTGCTCAGCTAAAATGATCGCAAATGCTTTAAAATGGCAACCAAAACCTGAAAGACATGGAAGAAAGCAAAAAACTACCATTGGAATGGATATAAGAATAGCCAAAATGGCGCGGACTCAGCCAACAATCAGCTCCAGGAAGATGAAAGAAGGGTGTGAAGTTCCCTGTGGTACTGTTACAATTAGAAGACGCCTATGTGAAGCCAAGCTATCTGCAAGAAGCCCCCGCAAAGTCCCACTGTTGAAAAAAAGACATGTGCTGAAGAGGTTACAATTTGCCAAAGAGCACATTGACTGGCCTAAAGAGAAATGGCGCAACATTTTGTGGACTGATGAAAGTAAGATTGTTCTTTTTGGGTCTAGTGGCCGGAGACAGTTTGTCAGACGACCCCCAAACACTGAATTCAAGCCACAGTACACTGTGAAGACAGTGAAGCATGGTGGTGCAAGCATCATGATATGGGGATGTTTCTCATACTACGGTTTTGGGCCTATTTATCGCATACCAGGGATCATGGATCAGTTTGAATACATCAGAATACTTGAAGAGGTCATGCTGCCTTATGCTGAAGAGGAAATGCCCTTGAATTGGGTGTTCCAACAAGACAACGACCCCAAACACACCAGTAAACGTGCAACATCTTGGTTCCAGACCAACAAGATGGACGTTATGGAGTGGCCAGCCCAATCCCCGGATCTTAATCCAATAGAAAACTTGTGGGGTGACATCAAAAATGCCATTTCTGAGGCAAAACCAAGAAATAGAGAAGAACTGGAATGTAGTCCAATCATCCTGGGCTGGAATACCTGATCACAGGGGCCAGAAGTTGGGTGACTCCATGCAACACAGATGTACAGAAGTTCTCAGAAACAGTGCGACTACAACCAAATATTCATGAAGTCATTCAAAGGAAAGCAAAATCTTCAAACATTTCTCAGTTTATATAGTGAATGAATGTTTGAGTTTGTAAAGAAGAATACAAACACTGCTATTTTTTGGAACAGTCTAATATTCACTTTTCTTCATTTTTTTTTTTTTTTTAGAGGAACAACACAAATTTGATTTATTTTTCTTCATGTTTTGATTTGGAATAGAATGTGTCGTGTTCCCAATGCATTTGTGTGGATGGAAAAAGCTATTAGAAGGATTTTGAGCTTTATTCACTTTTTTCACCACATGCTATTATTTTGAACACAACTGTATATACATATATATGGGACTCAATGGCTCACCCTGGATGTGAAAGCTCACAGAGCTAGAAGAAAATGACCTAAAAAAAGATCTTAATTGGTCTACACGTCCAAACGAGTTTGTAGAGGATATAATGGGCATCAAATGTCATCTAGGCATAATGGGATAGACAAAAGAAATTGATTAAATTTAACCGAAGATATGAAGAGATCATAATTCAATAGGTTAAGGCTAACTTTGGGCAATTTTACTTGTTAAATGCTTTAGAAGGATATATAGGTATAACCTAACAAAGATTTGTTTGACCTATACGTTAGGATGTACGATTGTTTATGAAAGTAACATGGATGTGCAGGATCATCTGCAGGTATAACATGTCATTTCTGTGCAATGGAGTTGTCCACATTAAAGGAAAGAGAAGAGAGGAGCGCCAGACTAAGTGCAACATTAAAAAGGTAAGTTTATTGCAAGGTAAAAAGAATGGCAACTCACTAGCAGTGAAGTAAAATTAGGCATGTCACCCTGGACCTCGTCCTATAGGGATCCCGGGAGCCAATGGAGAACAGGCAGCAGTGTGTGATTCAGAAGCTGACAGCTGGAACGGATCTCCTGGATGTTTGGTGCGGCCGCCCGCTGAAGAAGAACCAGCCTGGAACGCAAATGGCGCCGGTGCGGACGTGACGTCAGACGTAGGAGTGTGGTGACCTAAAATGGGCGGTAACGCGTTTTGAAGCAGAGCGTCTCCTTCAGACCTCCACTTCGAAGCGCGTTACCCCCATTTTACGTCACCACGCTCCTACCTCTGACATCATGTCCACCCTGGCGCCATTTGTTTTCCAGGCAGGCTGATGCACCAAGCATCCAGTAGCTCATTCCGGCTGTCAGCTTCTGAATCACACACTCTTGCCTATTCTCCATCAGCTCCCAGGATCTCAATAGGAGGATGTCCAGGGTGACATACCTAATTTTACTTCACTTCTAGTGAGCTGCCATTGTTTTTACCTTGCAATAAACCTACCTTTTTTTTTTTTTATAGCTGCACTTAGTCTGGCACCCCTCTCTTCTCTTTACTTGCCTACAGTGTCCAGCTGTACTCTGAGGGTGCTTCCACTTATGTTGCTGTCCGTTGCCCATTGCCTATTGGAACTCTATTTAGCCCGTTCCCCATTCCCTCTCTTCCACTCACAAGTTGGACTTTTATAAAGCATTTGGACTTTAAGTAAATCTTTCTACCTCTCCAGCGCCAAATATTTATCTATTGTACCACATTAAAGGGTGACTGTAGTTTTAAAACACATGGGGGGTTTACTAAAACTGGAGCACTCAGAATCTGCTTCAGCTGTGCATGGCAACCAATCGGCTTCTAACTTCAGCTTGTTCTATTAAGCTTTGGCAATAAAACCTGAAAGCTGATTGGTTTCTATGCAGAGGTGCACCAGAATCTTTACTCTCCAGCTTCAGTAAATATCCCCCAGTTGCTTCTTTATTAGATCCAGGAATATGAAGCAACTTTTCGCATATCCCTTACCTCCTTCTTTCCTATTCCTGTATTTAATATCTAGTAATAATGACACAATCCTGCGCTACCTTTGTGTTTCCTGCTCTGTGATTATAATAAATAAATTATAGTTATACCATATAGGAGGCTGCAAACAAATAATTGTGTTTCCTAAAATGTTCATATGAAACGAATTCATAACACTAAAATCATGTTTTGTGGTTTCTATATAATATTGATTTTGTGGGGTCCCTTGTTTTTTCACATTCATGTTTCTTTTATTTTTTTAAGAGACTTAAAGCCGACTAATGTGCTGCTGGAAGATGATGATCGGCCCCTGTTAATGGATCTGGGCTCTATGAATCACGCACGTATTGAAGTATCGGGGTCCAGGCAGGCAATGTCAGTGCAGGTACAGATAAAGTTCTAGATCTAGTCTTATTAAGAGTCAACTTTGAGCGCTTTTAGTTATTGCCCATAGCCTTTGTAGTAGGTATTGTCTGTAGCAACAAATTGGACTTGCAGAGTGACATTGTTTTGTCTGCTGCACTGATGGCATGGGGCAATGGGTTGCCTATTTTTGCTGCAAGCAAAACACAGAAAATCAGGAATATATCTCATTATGGCAGCTAGATGGAGCTGACAACCATAGAAAATGAACACCGTATTTTTTTGCTTCATAAGACGCATCTGACCATAAGATGCGCCTAGATTTTAGAGGAGGAAAAAATATTCTGAACCAATGGACTGCGGACATAGTACTACAGGAGATGAACAGAGACTGCGGACGTACTACAGGAGATGACCAGAGACTGCGGACGTACTACAGGAGATGACCAGAGACTGCGGACGTACTACAGGAGATGACCAGAGACTGCGGACGTACTACAGGAGATGACCAGAGACTGCGGACGTACTACAGGAGATGACCAGAGACTGCGGACATAGTACAGGAGATGACCAGAGACTGCGGACGTACTACAGGAGATGACCAGAGACTGCGGACGTACTACAAGAGATGATCAGAGACTGCAGACATAGTACAGGAGATGACCAGAGACTGCGGACGTACTACAAGAGATGACCAGAGACTGCGGACGTACTACAGGAGATGACCAGAGACTGCGGACGTACTACAGGAGATGACCAGAGACTGCGGACATAGTACAGGAGATGACCAGAGACTGCGGACGTACTACAGGAGATGACCAGAGACTGCGGACAAACTACAGGAGATGCCCAGAGACTGCGGACGTACTACAGGACATGACCAGAGACTGCAGACGTACTACAGGAGATGACCAGAGACTGCGGACGTACTACAGGAGATGACCAGAGACTGCGGGCGTACTACAGGAGATGACCAGAGACTGCGGGCGTACTACAGGAGATGACCAGAGACTGCGGGCGTACTACAGGAGATGACCAGGGACTGCGGACATAGTACAGGAGATGCCCAGAGACTGCGGACATAGTACAGGAGATGCCCAAAGACTGAGGACGTACTACAGGAGATGCCCAGAGACTGCGGACGTACTACAGGAGATGCCCAGAGACTGCGGACGTACTACAGGAGATGACAAGAGACTGCGGGCGTACTCAAGAGATGACCAGAGACTGCGGACGTACTACAGGAGATGACAAGAGACAGCGGGCGTACTCAAGAGATGACCAGAGACTGCGGACGTACTACAGGAGATGACCAGAGACTGCGGACACAGTACAGGAGATGACCAGAGACTGCGGACACAGTACAGGGGATGACCAGAGACTGCGGACGTACTACAGGTGATGATGACCAGAGACTGCAGACCTTTGGGGGGCGGGTACCCACGTGACAGGTCCCACAAGACTACTGGACCATTCAAAAAGCACAGCGCTTCTCGCACATGCGCAGTAGGCACCTGGCTGTGAAGCCGCAAGCTGTCACAGCCAGATGCCCACACTGAAGATGCCGGCGTGAGGGAGAGAAGACAGCCGGTGAAAGTAGGACACTGCTGGACTGAGGAACAGGTAGGAGCGGGTTCTTCTGCACAGTAGAGCCGAGTGGCCGGCCCAGTTCTAACACAGCGGCGGCAGGAATACCGGGCCGGCCACTTCACATTCGCTCCATAAGACGCACAGACGTTTTCCCCCATTTTTTTTGGGGGAGGAGGGGGGAGAGTGCGTCTTATGGAGCGAAAAATACAGTACTTATTTACTATGATGGTCACCATCTAGTACAGCAATGGGCAAACTACGGCCCGCGGGCCGTATACGGCCCGGCGGACCTTTTAATCCGGCCCCGCGGAGCTAGGCTCCTCTCACAGTCCGCCCTGAAGACCGGTGTAGCATGAAAATCTGTCTCCTATGAGGATCTGTCCCCCTCGACGTATCTGCGCATGTGCCGGAGATCGCCAATCGGCTGCTAATGCCTGAAACTGGCACATGCGCAGATACGTTGAGGGGACAGATCCTCATAGGAGACAGATTTTCATGCTACACCGGAACGGCGCGGGAACACGGCGAGAGGAACGCGCGGAGCAAAGGTAAGTGAATTGACACAGGGGGGACTTGGGGACTTAATATGGGGAATGAATTAATATGAATTACTATAGGGGGGATGAATTACTATATGGGGGGGATGAATTACTATGGGGGATGAATTACTATATGGGGGATGAATTACTATGGAGGATGAATTACTATATGGGGGATTAATTACTATGCTTACTATGGGGGAATATTACTATACTTTGGATGACACATACACATCATTCATCTACTCTTGGTCTGGCCCCCGGGTCCAATATATGAACCCATTGCGGCCCTCAAGTCAAAAAGTTTGCCCACCCCTGATCTAGTAGCTATAATGAGATATTTTCCTGATTCATGCTATTCTTATGAATGGAAAGCATCTGTCCTAGAAAGAAACTGGCCTGGTAACATTCTATTTTGCTGGCATTCACACAGAATGAATGTGCATGAGGTTTCGCAGAACCAATAGCTCTGCAAGTTTTTATTTCTTATACTGTAAATACACCTTCAAATGTTGAACCCTCATTTATTAAATGCACAGGAAGCCAGCATGGCTGAAAGACCGCTATCATTTTCAGAAGTAAAGGTCACCAGTGCCAGTCTCCATGTTTCACTAATGACTGGTGTCCTTTATAGAAATACTGTATATTACTGACATCTGTGGAGAACATTGGATATGCAAACTAAAATATATACAAGATTTCAAATCCAACAGCAGAGAATTGCATGGAATCTTTTTAGCATATTTACAGAGCTTTTCTATTCCCAGTGGATCCTGGGGGTAGATTACAGCCTTGGCATTATTATTATACAGGATTTATGAGTTTTTCTCTTGTAGGACTGGGCGGCACAGCGATGTACCATCTCTTACCGGGCCCCCGAACTTTTCAATGTGGAAAGTAACTGTGTGATAGACGAGAGGACTGATATCTGGGTATGAATCATTCAGACTAACACATACATCACACAGGGAAGGTTTGGGGGTTTTTATAATCCATTTTTTTTTCTTTATTATGTTAATGTGTATCTAAAGACAAAAAGTTTTTTCTTTTTTTTTTTTTTTTTTTGCTATTTTGGGTAGAAAATGGAATTGTTTTTTGCCATCTGTGTCCCATTAAGGAAATTTTACTTTCTGTCCAGTAGACACAAGGAAATCTTTCCAAAGTGAGGAAAATCCTCTTAACCACCTCCTGCCCGCCATATAGTAATATGACGGGCGCAAGGTGGTTCTCTCGTTCTGGTAGGACGTTATATGACGTCCTCCCGTTCTCACCGCGCATGCGTGGCGATCGGCGGTGCGCTGTGTCCCTCGGACACAGCGGATCACTGATCACGGAAAGAGCCGAAGATGTCGGCTCAGTCATGTGATCAGCTGTGTCCAATCACAGCTGATCACATGTAAACCGGGAAATGCCGGTTATCGGCATTTCTGTCCTCTCGAGCTGTCACGCTGACAGAGGAGAGCCGGTAATTCTGCATTCCTCGGAGGGGACATGTACACTGATCATCAGGGCACTGATGATCAGTGTGCCCTGATGATCAGTGTAGCCCCAGCAGTGCCTTGTGTCACTGTCCATCAGTGCCACGTGCCATTGCCCATCAGTGCCTCAATGCCACATATCCGTGCCCACCAGTTCACATCAATGCCACATATCAGTGCCCACCAGTGCACACATCAATGCCCCACCTTTCAGTGCCCATCTGAGCTGCCTTTCAGTGTCACCCATCTGAGCTGCCTTTAGTGTCACCTGTCAGTGCCAGTCAGTGCCGCCTATCAGTGCCATGTATCAATGCTGCCTTTCAGTGCCCATCAGTGATGCCTGTCAATGTCCATCAGTGCCCATCAGTGCAGCCTCATTAGCGCACATCAGTGAAGGAGAAAAATCACTTATTTACAAACTTTTATAACAAAAACTAAGAAAAACTTTTTTTTTTTTTTTCAAAATTTTCAGTGGTTTTTGGTTTAAAAAAAAAAAAAAACCCCCAGAGGTGATTAAATACCACCAAAATAAAGCTCTGTCTGTCACAAAAAAAGTGATAAAAATGTCATATGGGTACAGTGTTGCATGACCGCGCAATTGTCATTCAAAGTGTGACAGCGCTGAAAACTGGAAATTGGCCTGGACAGGAAGGGGGTATAAGTGCCCTGTAGGCGAGGGGTTAAAGACAGTTGTCACTGGAAGATTTCAGCTCTAATCCTGTGACAACTCTATCTAAAAAAAATAATTAAAATTATTTTTAGCACTGATCACTTTTTTTTTTTTTTTTTTTTTAAAGTACTGATCACTGTATGGGTGTCACTGGGGATGTCAGCGACACCAATCAGGTCTCAACCCCCCCCCCCCCAGTTTCAGAATACCTGCCGCAGTCCTGCTATAAGTCGATGATCGCCACCATTATTAGTAAAAAAAAAATTAAAAATTCCAGTATCTATATCACCATTTCAAAACGCTATAACTTTTATGTAAACCAATTAATTTACACATATTGGGATTTTTTTTTTGGCAAAGACATGTCACAATACATTTTCGCCTACAGTAAATTTATGATGAAATTTAATTTTTTTAAATTTTTTTACTGGATATGTTTAATAGCAAAAATTAAAAATTGTTTTTTTTTCCCTCAAAATTGTCAGTCTTTTTTATGGCACAAAAAATAAAAATCGCACAGGAGATCAAATACCACCGAAAGTAAGCATTGCATGACCGTCCCAATTGTCACTTAAAGTAACGCAGCGCCGTAACGCAAAAAATGGCCTGGTCAGGAAGAGGGGTAAATCCTCAGGAGGGCAAAGGGTTAAACCCCTTCTTCAGCTCTGCGTATACAAAGGAGCGTGGGGGAGCTCTTGTCCATAATGGGCGTGGTATTGACACAGCTCCAGATGTTCCACATTGGCTCAAAATTGATATCCAGAAATATTTAGACAGAATAAAGTGAAGCACAAACACACCGCCCCCACAGTAAAAAACACACACAATTAACCCTTTGATCGCCCCTCATGCTAACCCCTTCCTGGCCAGTGCCATTAGTACAGTGTCAGTGCTTTTTATTAGCACTGATCACTGTATTGGTGTCACTAGGGATGTCAATGACACCAAGTCAGTTCCCCCCCAGTGTCAGATTACCCGCCACAGTCCCGCTATAAGTCGCTGATCGCCGCCATTACTAGTAAAAATTATAATTTAAAAAAATGGCAGTATATAGACTGCCATTTGTAAACGCTATTACCTTTCATGTAAACTAATTACACGTACTGGAATTTTTTTTTAGCAAAGACATGGAGCAGAATACATTTTGGCCTATATTTATGACTAAATTTAAATTTTTTTTAAATTTTTTTTACTGGACATGTTTAATAGCAAAAAGTCAAAAATATTGTTTTGTTTCTCAATTTTCACTTTTTTTTTTTTTTAATAGCACAAAAAAATAAAAAATTTACAGGTGATCAAATACCACTGAAAGAAAGCTCTATTCGTGGGGAAAAAAAAGGACATAAATTTAATTTGGGTGCAGTGTTGCATGATGGCGTAATTGACAGTTAATGTAACGCAGCGCTGTAACTCAAAAAATGGCCTGGTCAGGAAGGGGGGGGGGGGTAAATCCTCTGGAGGGTAAGGGGTTAATTGCCATTTTAACCTGTGTATGTCACCTTGTGTGTCTGTACCAAGGCCAAACATTCCAGGGTTGGAAACTTTTGTTCAGGCCCATTTGGGTGATTTCTGTTATCATAATGATTTTAAAAAGGAGCCAAACAAGGCGGCATACAAAGTATTGTTTGATTGGTATTGGGTTCCGGCTCGTTTGGCCCAGGTGAACCCTACCTGCAGTGATCGATGCTTTCGGAGTTGTGGCCATTGTGGTGATGTATTGCATATCTGGTGGTCATGCCCACGACTGATTGGTTTTTGGTCTTGTGTGTTTGGCCTCCTTTTCACCTTGTTCCATCTCCCCATACGCCGGGATGCTCGGTACGCTTTGCTTCATTGCCCCATACCGGGCCTCTTGGCTCACTAGCAGAAGTTGGCTTCCTATTTGTTTTTGTCGGCCACTAGAACAATTGCTCAGGCCTGGAAGAGCCCATTTGTCCCTCTTCAGGGGGTGCGGGATCGTATGACCACTATGATGCTCAATGAACAGATGTCGAGTATCTGTAACGACTCCCAACGGAAATGTTTGAAAATATGGGAGCCGTGGTTGCAATATGCCCTTCCCATTCTCCCCCTGGCTAGTCTGGGGTTGTGATGTTGCTCGGTATTGGCGTTCCTGAACCCCTGCTCATGGTCTTGTCATCTTTTTCCTTTTGTACTCCTCCTTACTTTTCTATTTCTGGTGTGGCAGTGGATAGCTGCCTTTCGTTTGAGTTACTGTCGGTGCTATACCAATGTTTTTGTTATTTGTGTGCCATTGATAGCCGCTGCGTGGGCGCACCTTTTGCCCTGTTGGTGGTGGACACTGTTTTCTTTTTTTATGTGCAATTGATGGCCCCTGCGTGGGCGTGTCTTGTTGCTCCTTTTTTTTTTTTTTTTTAATGTTTATAAATTAATAAAAATGATTGAAATACAAAAAGGTGCCAAACAACGATGTAGTAATAAATGGCTTCATATGATCATTATCCTTTTTAACCTCCTTAGCGGTATTCCCGAGTGTAGCTCGGGGTAAAATTTCTATACCAAGAGCGGTAACCCCGAGCTACACTCGGGCTTACCATGCGGCGTTGCTCTGGGGGTCCCTGCAGCACTTACCTTGTCCTTCGCTCCCGCGATGTGTCCCCTGCAGTGTCCCCGGCCATCTCCTCCGGCCGATGCCGGCATCCGGCTTCTGTGTTCCAGTCCCTGTGATGTCGGGACGTACGGGCGCCGGAACCGGCGGGAAATTTGAAATTTTAAAAAAATGTCATTTTTGCTGTTATTGCTGTTTCAATGCATTTCACATATATTTTGTCCCGAGTGCTTTGTCCTACGCCCTGCCTGCATTTTGAATGTTCTTTCTGCCTGGAAACTGAGAAATGTCCATGGCGTCCAAAAAGTGTCCCTTTAGGTCAAAAGTGGTTTTAGACCGGCTAGAGAACAGCGATAGTAAATCAGAACCACTTGCAGAATTGAGTGATAATGATTCGTGGGAGAAATTCCTCATCAGACACTGAAAACGATTTTGCGACTTTGCTCAGCGATGTGCGAATTTGCCTTTGTATTTCAAATTTGTGTTTTTGGGTTGATTATATTATTGAATTACATTTATTATATTATTATTTTTTATGATTATTTATTAAATTTATAATTTATGATTTCGTGTTTCAAATTTTATCCTACTCGGAATATTTAATAGACTCTTTGTTCGTACAGATTTCAGTGAGTTATTCCTAAAAATTACAGCCTACAATAAAAAACTACATATTTCCATGCAAAAAAATGGTACCGCTTTCAGCACCAAAAATCGGAAAGAATCATACCGCTAGGGAGGTTAAAAGACAGTTTTTTGGCAGGAACAGTCATGTTTTCCATACCAGTGCAAACAAATGTCAAGATTTCTGCCGGGGGGTGCAAAGTTCTGTACATAACTATATGTCTGCAATGTTGGTAATCTTATTATCGTTTTATTTTCTGCGTTGATGCATTGTAACGATATCACATTTGCGTTTACTCTTCAGTCTCTCGGCTGTGTACTGTATTCCATGATGTTTGGAGAGGGGCCGTATGATATGATTTTCCAAAAAGGAGACAGCGTGGCCTTGGCTGTTCAAAACAGCATCACAATCCCTGAAAACGACAGGTAATATTGCTATGTACAGTGCCGGAAATGTACTAATACGCAGCTTTGTATGTGCGTCAGGAACAGAAAGTGAGGGGAAAATCCCACCAATGGGGAGACCGAAAGAAACAAGACCCCCTACAAAAGTTCATCAACACACTTTCAAGCTAGCCAGCAAATAACTTGTTGCCTTTTTGGATTTTGTGCAGACACACATTGAAAGTCTTCCGGTGCCTTGCGTTGCTGTATCTTTAAGAGCCTAGATTTTGGCTGAAAACCAATGATTTGCAAAGTTGAGAACATTTCTGATCTACAGTTTGTAGACACTTTGTTCTACTGCCTGGCGGGTAGGAGGAGGTCAGGATGCCCTCTGCGTGTTCCCAGCTAGACACTAGAGGGAGTATGGAGATAAGGGCTCCGCTCATTGTCCTGTGTTTTTAGCAACTATAAGGCTCCATGTACACGGGACGTTTGGAAAACTCTTCTGACTGCTGGAAAACGTAGGTTAAAAACCGTCACTTTAGCTGCGTTTGCATACCGTGTTTCTGTGCGTTTGCATTTAGAAGCGTTTTTAAACGATAACTTCAGGAGACCTTCCCAAATGCCCAGAATGCACTGAAAAAAAAAACTATTTCAGACATTTTGAGAGGAATAGAGAGAGCAGAAGCAGAGAGAGCAGTATGTGTTGAGATGACCTGTCTGTTCTGGTTGTATTCACTATGGATCCCATCATGAGTATAATGCGGCGCATTCTACCATTATTTCCTTCACGTAAAACCTGGAACTGACTGCGCTGGTGTACCGGGTCCATTTGAGTACATGGAAAACGCTTTGCATGTATTTCTAATGATGAAAAAAGGCTCTGGACAGCATCTGGACATGGAACAGTTAAACGCTTCTAAACGCAACTGCTTTAAACACGGTTAACCGCGTTTACATGCATTTGGCGTTTGAAACGCAGATAAAATCTACTCCTGAACGCAAGTTTGGTGCGTTAAAAAAAAAACGACTGTAAACTCAGCTGCCTGTAAAAGACGATGTGTACATGGACACATAGGAGAACATTAGGGAGAGTTCAGGGGCTGCTGAGAAAAATGCAGAACTGAACATCAGTTTGTCAGCTGCAGTGTACATGAGCCTAACTTCTAACTGAACGAGATTCCGTTTTCTAGAGCACTCTGTAGCATAAGAAATTACTTTTATTTCAATAAAAACCATCTTTATTTTCATCCTTTGCATCGCTGTGCAGCTGAATCCTGTAGCCTCTTGGCATCCGCCTCTGTTTGCATACAATACAGCAATGGTTGCATGTCGCTTCTCAGGGCAGGTTTCCTGACAGTGACAACAGTGGACCATGCCTGCATAATGAGTGTTGAAATGGCCAATAAAAGCCCATGTGACATGGTCACCATGCAAAAGCACAATTAGGGGACAGGGATGGAGTGTTGTCACATTATAACTGGAAGTGCCTATACAAAAAGTTTCATGGCACTAGGTGTGTTAACCACTTCCTGTCCAGCCCATGTATATAAACGGCCAGACGGGAGCAGTGCAGGGTCGGGTGGCCGTTTATAAATGTCCTCCCGGCTCCCCTGCTTGTGTGCGCTCCCTGGGAGCGAGCAGCACTGTGATCCAGTGTCCGCTGTGTCCTCCGGACACAGTGGAACAGAGATCGTTGTACAGGACCTCTGTGTGAGGTCCCCATCATGTGATCACTGATTGGCAGAGTAGTAAGCAAGATGTCACTTCTGACATCATTGCTTACTACGTGTGAAATCTGTGGTCACATGGTACAAGCCATTTCCCCACAGGCATAAAGCACACTCCCACACCATCCCACTCAGGCATCAACAGCAAGGCTCTTACTTTCCATTCAGCATTCATCTGCATCAGAGGTTGGTCATCAGCTCTGAGGAAAGGGATTCGTCCCCGAAACGCGTCAGCAATTTGACCGCACTGACAGTGAGAACACCTTGCTTGCCGTTGTGGCCATTGTCATTTTTCTATGCTTTTTAGATACGTACTTCGTCTGTGAGTATGTTTTTATTATTCTTTCACTCCTACAATAAACCTTGGATAATGCACTAGGTGTGTGCGCCACCTGTTTTCTCTCTATCCAGTGGCTGATTTCCCCGTCTGAGGAGGGCTGCACCCCTGGAGCATTTCCTTTGGTTGTCGCTGTCCTGGTACCCTTGGCTTCCCTTTTGGCTGTGCATATCCTGAGGCGCTGGAGAGTACATACGATATCCTATTCACAACAGCCTTGTACCATGTGACAAGCTGTGACCAATCACAGCTCTCTCAGTATTTCTCAATGGCTGCAAGAATGCAGCCAGAGAGAAGGAGAAATGATTGCTTTTATAGCCTTTATGGGTGAGCACAGAGCATCACTGCAATCCACCCATTTGGCTGCTAAGAGTGCATACCCTAAAATGCTAATTGCCTGGCTGTCATTCTAATCCTCTTCTTTCAATACCTTGATTTAATGACCCAGAACAAGTTTGCTGTCAAGGACTTCTGACTTTCCTTATCCATATATCAGGCACCTAAGCTTCAACCTTTCATATGTCATCTGGCAGCACAGTGGCCAAATGGTTAGCATTTCCGCCTGGCAGTACTAGGGTCATTGGTGTAAATCCCAACCACAGTACCACCTGCCTGGAGTTTGCATGTTCTCCCTGTTCCTGCGTGGGTTTACTCCGGTTTTTTTCCCACCCTCCAAAAACATGCTGGTAGGTGCATTGGATCCTGTCTAAATTGGCCCGTGTATGTAGGAATGTGAGTTAGGGACTTTAGATTGTACGCCCCTTGAGGGTTAGGGACTGATGTGAATGTACAATACATACAGTATCTCCCAGAAGTGAGTCCACCCCTCACATTTGTGTCAATATTTTATTATATCTTTTCATGTGACAACACTGAAGAAATGACACTTTGCTACAATGTGACGTAGTCAGTGTACGGCTTGTATAACATGTAAATTTGCTGCCACCTCAAAATAACTCAACACACAACCATTCATGTCTAAACCGCTGGCAACAAAAGTGAGTCCACCCCTAAGTGACAAGGTCCAAATTGGGCTCAATTAGCCATCTTCCCTCCCCGTTGTCATGTGACTCTTTAGTGTTATAAGGTCTCAGGTGTGAATGGGGAGCGGGTGTGTTACATTTGGTGTTATCGCTCTCACTCTCTCTTACTGGTCACTGGAAGTTCAGCATGGCACCTCATGGCAAAGAACTCTCTGACGATCTGAAAAAAAGAATTGTTGCTCTACATAAAGATGACCTAGGCTATAAGAAGATTGCCAAGACCTTGAAACTGAGCTGCAGCACGGTGGCCAAGACCATACAGCGGTTTAACAGGACAGGTTCCTCTCAGAACAGGCCTTGCCATGGTCCACCAAAGAAGTTGAGTGCACGTGCTCAGCGTCATATCCAGATGTTGTCTTTGGGAAGTTGACGTATGAGTGCTCTCAGCATTTCTGCAGAAGTTGAAGGGGTGGAGGGTCAGCCTGTCAGTGCTCAGACCATACGCCGCACACTGCATCAAATTGGTCTGCATGGCTGTCGTCCCAAAAGGAAGCCTCTTCTAAAGATGATGCACAAGAGAGCCTCCAAACAGTTTGCTGAAGACAAGCAGACTAAGGACATGGATTACTGGAACCATGTCCTGTGGTCTGATGACACCAAGATCAACTGATTTGGTTCAGATGGTGTCAAGCCTGTGTGGTGGCAACCAGGTGAGGAGTACAAAGACAAGTGTGTCTTGCCTACTGTCAAGCATGGTGGTGGGAGTGTCATGGTCTGTTGCTGCATGAGTGCTACCGGCACTGGGGAGCTACAGTTCATGGAGGGAACCATGAATGCCAACATGTACTGTGACATACTGAAGCAGAGCTTGATCCCCTCCCTTTGGAGACTGTGCCGCAGGGCAGTATTCCAACATGATAATGACCCCAAACACACCTCCAAGACAACCACTGCCTTGCTGAAGAAGCTGAGGGTAAAGGTGATGGACTGGCCAAGCATGTCTCCAGACCTAAACTCTATTGAGCATCTGTGGGGCATCCTCAAACAGAAGTTGGAGGAGTGCAAGGTCTCTAACATCCACCAGCTCAGGGATGTCGTCATGGAGGAGTGGAAGATGACTCCAGTGGCAACCTGTGAAGCTCGGGAGAACTCCATGCCAAGAGGGTTAAGGCAGTGCTGGAGAGTAATGGTGGCCACATAAAATATTGACACTTTGGGCCCAATTTGGACCTTGTCACTTAGGGGTGGACTCACTTTTGTTGCCAGCGGTTTAGACATGAATGGCGGTGTGTGGAGTTATTTTGAGGGGACAGCAAATTTACATGTTATACAAGCTGTACACTGACTACGTCACATTGTAGCAAAGTGTCATTTCTTCAGTGTTGTCACATGAAAAGATAGAATCAAATATTTACAAAAATGTGAGGGGTGGACATGTAATAGAGTTGCTATTACAAAAATATCAGTCAAAGGTTGAGTAAATTGAAAATAAAATGGCCTAGTAGGTTTCTAGATCTGTATTTTAGCTGGTTCTCTATAATTAGTAGTAAGGGAAGAGGTAGGGGAAAAAATCAGCTTCCCTCTGTAGTAGGAATTTTTGACTAGCATAGTGTTCTTTTTTTAAATCTTTGTGATCATTTTTCTCTACAGTCAGTTCTCTGATAGAGTTGTGGTATCATTCCGCTCCACCGTTTTTACTTGTTACAAAAGAGGTTTCCCTCCCTACAGGTACTCCCAAGGACTGGAGTCACTCCTTTCCTCCATGATGGTGGTGAATCACTTAGACAGGCCGCATATCTCCACAATCCTCAGCCAGTTGGAGTCACTGTACCCCACGGTAGACGGGCAAGCCACCACCAGGATATGACATCACAGGAAGTAACCTCACTCAAGTGCTGCTTAACTTTTAGACCGTTGTCACACAAGGGACTGATCCCATTGGATCAGACACTGTGACAAAAGGACTGTGGTTGATATTGAACTTCTCAATGCTTTTTAACAATGACCATTTTATCTCCGATATCTTTTAAGACTGTTTTATGACGCCGCTACGTGAGACCCTGGAAACACATTCCAATTCATAAGATGGCGATGGAAGATGCCTTCACTTAGTTTTGTAGAAATATGTTACAAGGAACTGAACAAGTATGAACTCCTCCTCCCTCCATCTTACCTCCCAGAGGTCCCTTCTCAGGCCAGTGTCCCGTCTGGCCTCTGGAGCATGGTCCTGATGTGCTGTGTATGTTACTGTATGTTCTGTCCCCTCTGTGTCTCCTGTAATAGGAAGCTGTGATTAAACCTGATGCTTGGATTGTATTCTGCTCTCCTTTGTGAAACTCTGTGGACTGAGGCACCTTTCACATGGGCATTGTTGGGTGCAGCAAAGCCAGATTGTTGAGGTGCATTTTTATTGCTCCTCTGCCGCTTGTCAAAACCTGTTAATTGCTGCGGGATGGTCTGATACACATTGTCATGGCTGCGGGATGGTCTGATACACATTGTCATGGCTGCGGGATGGTCTGATACACATTGTCATGGCTGCGGGATGGTCTGATACACATTGTCATGGCTGCGGGATGGTCTGATACACATTGTCATGGCTGCGGGATGGTCTGATACACATTGTCATGGCTGCGGGATGGTCTGATACACATTGTCATGGCTGCGGGATGGTCTGATACACATTGTCATGGCTGCGGGATGGTCTGATACACATTGTCATGGCTGCGGGATGGTCTGATACACATTGTCATGGCTGCGGGATGGTCTGATACACATTGTCATGGCTGCGGGATGGTCTGATACACATTGTCATGGCTGCTGCGGGATGGCCTGATATACACATTGTCATGGCTGCGGGATGGTCTGATACACATTGTCATGGCTGCGAGATGCCTGATACACACACATTGTCATGGCTGCGAGATGCCTGATACACATTGTCATGGCTGCGAGATGTCATGGGCCTGATACACATTGTCATGGCTGCAGGATGGTCTGATACACATTGTCATGGCCGCAAGTATGTGCGTTGCTGCATAAAAAAAAAGAAAAATAGGGCAGGTTGTGTTTGGCAAGCGTTACCATCTGCCATTGCACCCTATTAAAAGGGCCATGCTACATCCACATATAATAGACACAGTTGTGGTGCAGTGAAGAGGGATTTTAGTGTGAAATCCCTCTTCATGCAGGAGGCAACGTATCCACATAGCTTGCTAGCTGGGGGCCAACTGCTGCTGACAAAGTGAGCCACTGCAGATTGTGAGCTGGCAGCATTAAAGTTGGGAAAAAGCAACAAGTGCAGTCAAAGTGGTTGTAAACCTCAGACATGAAATATGAACAAAACACATCCCTCCATAGTGTGTGCTTGCCTCAATTAAAAGCACTGTCTACTGCCTCCTTCCTCCTGCTATCGGTACGAGTCACTTCTGACAAGCTTTCCTGACACCAAGAGAAAAATGGTGACGGGAGGGACCTCCAGCTGATTATTATTATTATAATACAGTATTTATAAAGCGCCAATAGTTCGCTCAGCGCTGTACATTACAGATGGGAGACAGAATCATGTGACAGAACAATTAAAATACAATGCAAAACATGAGGGGTTCGAGGGCCCTGCTCTTTCGAGCTTACAATCTAGGAGGGAGGGGATGGTGGCACAGGAGGAGATAGCTGTGGGGGATGGAGTGGTAGGAAGAGTGGAGGAGGTTGGCAGGTTAGCAGGGGGTGGGGTAGGCTTCCCTGAAGAGATGGGTTTTCAGGGTGCGCCTAAAGGAGAGGAGAGTAGGTGATAATCTGATGGGTTGGGGCAGGGAGTTCCAGAGGATGGGTGACACCCTGGAGAAGTCCTGGAGTCGGGCATGGGAGGAGGAGACCAGGGGACTAGAGAGAAGGAGGTCTTGTGAGGAGCGGAGAGTGCGTGTTGGGCGGTACTTGGATATTAGGTCAGTGATGTAGTTCGGGGCAGTATGGTGGACGGCTTTGTACCTCAGTGTTAGGATTTTAAATTTGATCCGTTGCGCAATCGGAAGCCAGTGGAGGGATTGGCAGAGGGGGGTGGCGGAGATGGAGCGGTTGGAAAGGTGAATGAGTCTGACTGCCGTATTCAGGATGGACTGAAGCGGGGATAGCCAGCGGCGAGGCAGGCCAGTGAGGAGGGAGTTGCAGTAGTCGAGTCGTGATATGATGAGGGAGTGGATGAGCTGTTTAGTGGTTTCTGGAGTTAGGAACGTGCAGATTTTGGCGATGTTGCGGAGGTGGAGTCTGCATGAGTTTGTTAAAGATTGGACTTGGGGCTGGAAGGATAGGTTAGAGTCCAGAATGACACCAAGTACTCTGGCCTGCGGGGCGGGTTTGATGGTGGCGTTGTTGGATGTGATGGAGAAGTCAATGGGGGGTGGGGTCCGGGCTGGGGGGAAGAGAAGACAAGATTGACAGCCTCAGCACTGTTCCTGTGAGCTGTGTGTAGGAGGATATGTCTCTTCCCTCCAATCGGCTCTCAAAGGTCTCATTGCTGAGCTATACAGTGTGTAATTTCAGCTGCCCCCCCCCCTTTTCCTGAATGCTCAAACAAGCTTTATAAATTCTGGATATGAACAGATGGAGAGAAGAGAAGACTGCAGATAAACAGGTCAGAGGCGTCCCTAGGGTTGGTGTCATAACACTTGGTGATACCCCCTCCAACGATCCCTGCAGAATGGATCGGATCTACGGATTGAGCATTTGGATCCATTATGCTCAATCCGAAGATCCGATCCATTCTGCTGAGATCGTCGGCTTTCTTTACAACTTACCTTTTCGTGGAGCGGGCCCGGTGTCACCCCGTATAGGTTTCATGCCAACGATCCCCGCAGGATGGATCGGATCTGTGGATTGAGCATAATGGATCGGAGTCTGATCCATTATCCTCCCCACAGATCCGATCCATCCTGCGGGGATCGTTGGCATGAAACCTATACGGGGTGACACCGGGCCCGCTCCACGAAAAGGTAAGTTGTAAAGCAAGCTGATGATCCCTGGAGGATGAATCAGATCTGCGGATTGTGGAGCATATTGGATCGGACTCCGATCCATTATGCTCAAACCGCACATCCGATCCATCCTGCGGGGATAGTCGGCTTGCTTTACAACTTACCTTTTTGTGGAGCAGGTCCAGTGTCACTCGGTGGTGCGCTCACCCCCTGCACCTGCCTAGGGATGCCACTGAAACAGGTACAATGTATGTTGGAGGATTTGCTTCATCTCTATGGGCAGCACAGTGGCTAAATGGTTAGCACTTCCGACTGGCAGTACTCGGGTCGTTGGTTCGAATCCCAGCCATGGCACCTCCTGCCTGGAGTTTGCATGTTCTCCCTGTGCCTGCGTGGGTTTCCTCTGGGTACTTTGGTTTCCTCTTACCCTCCAAAGACATGCTGGTAGGTTCATCGGCTCCTGTTTAAATTGTCCCTAGTATGTGTATGTATGAATGTGAGTTAGGGATCTTAGATTGTACACCCCTTGAGGGTTAGGGACTGATGTGAATGTACAATATATATGTAAATTGATGGCGCTGTATAAGTACCTGTAATAAATAAATAAATAAATCTCTGTGTATCACCAGAGGCCAATCACTTCACTGGGCAGGGGCGGACTGACCCAGGCAATAGGGGATCATGGGTCCCCTGTGTCCTTGCCCACACTCAAAGCACACCCAAAAAAGCCTATAAAAGGCACCAGGGGCATTTCATGGGGCCCCCTACTGACCCAGGGCCCTCGGGCAGTGCCCGAGTGCTCGAATGGTCAGTCCGCCCCTGACTAGGTATATACAGTGGGGATCGAAAGTTTGGGCACCCCAGCTAAAAATTTGTATTAATGTGCATAAAGAAGCCAAGGAAAGATGGAAAAAATCTCCAAAAGGCATCAAATTACAGATTAGACATTCTTATAATATGTCAACAAAAGTTAGATTTTATTTCCATCATTTACACTTTCAAAATAACAGAAAACAAAAAAATGGCGTCTGCAAAAGTTTGGGCACCCTGCAGAGTTAATATCTTGTACTGCCCCCTTTGGCAGTATCACAGCTTGTAAACGCTTTTTGTAGCCAGCCAAGAGTCTTTCAATTCTTGTTTGAGGTATCTTTGCCCATTCTTCCTTACAAAAGTCTTCCAGTTCTTTGAGATTTCTGGGCTGTCTGTCACGCACTGCTCTTTTAAGGTCTATCCATAGATTTTCAATTATGTTGAGGTCAGGAGATTGTGAAGGCCATGGCAAAACCTTCAGTTTACGCCTCTTGATGTAATCCCCCGTGGATTTCGAGGTGTGTTTAGGATCATTATCCATTTGTAGAAGCCATCCTCTCTTTAACTTCAGCTTTTTCACATATGGCATCAAGTTACCATCCAAAATTTGCTGAAATTTTATTGAATCCATTTTTCCTTCTACTCGTGAGATGTTCCCTGTGCCACTGGCTACAACACAACCCCAAAGCATGATTGATCCAACCCCATGCTTAACAGTTGGACAGAGGTTCTTTTCATTAAATTCTGTGCCCCTTCTCCAAACGTACCTTTGCTCATTCCGGCCAAAAAGTTCAATTTTAACCTCATCGGTCCACAGAACTTGTTTCCAAAATGCATCAGGCTTGTCTATATGTTCATTTGCAAAGTTCAAACGATGATTTTTGTGGTGAGGACGTAGAAGAGGTTTTCTTCTGATGACTCTTCCATGAAGACCATATTTGTACAAGTATCTCTTTATAGTGGAATAGTGTACCACAATTCCAGTGTCTGCCGGATCTTTCTGGAGGGATCGTGCAGTCAAACGTGGGTTTTGAATTGTTTTTCTCACAATCCTGCGAGCTGTTCTGTCTGATATTTTTCTTGGTCT